TTGAAGTGCACTGGATATTTGAAGAATGAAATGGTGAGGGAAGTGCTTGGAAGTAGCTCGATTTACTCCAATAACATTGTGCGAGAGAATTTGATTTACCAGGCCGAGGCAATCCTCGACGACGCAGGAGGGTTTCAGACCCCGTTTGGCTCGAGCTACGTCGAAGCTGCCGCATTTAGCGTGCTGATTTTTGTGGACGATATGAAATCTAGTGAATTATCCAAGCTAGATCTCGTGGACGCGCCTGTCTCCCAGATTTCCGCCGAAATCATGCGATCGCTCTAAGCAAGTAGTGTGCTAGCTACCGCAGCCTATCAGCGCGTGATTCATCGCAGTCTGAATTTCCATCATTGATTTTTGCCACCGCGCTTTCAAGCAGAAAATGTGCACGAGTGGTCTCATCTCTCCGCCCTCTGTGAAGCGTGATTTTGTTAGGCGCGTCATGCAAAACTCACGAACCCGTTCATAGGACTCGCAGGAAAAATCGCATCCGAGTGGCTTGACAATTCTCTTGAGATTGGCAATATCGCAAGCTTCGGCAACAGCCCCACCGCGCTACGACTTCAGCGCTGGGTAGTGAAGTCGATCCAGGAAGAGAGTCCTGTAGAATCGAAGACCTCGTCAGAAACGGACGTTGGGGACATCATCTATGCTCTTGTGGCGTCTGCTCTAGAGCTCCTTGGCACCGCGGTCTCATCAGATGAGCCGCTCATGGCCGCTGGGTTGGACTCGTTGGCTGGAACCTAGTTTGTTCAAGCCGTCTCCGAGCGGTACTCCACTGAATTTCCCGCGACGCTAGTCTTCGACTACCCAACGCTCTAGAGCATCGCAGAGTTCTTGGCTAAATAAAGCCATTCGCTGCGTTCAACATCGCCCCGCCACCATGTAGAAACAATCGTGGCGTTGTGGTCTTCGACGTCAATATGGCTCGACTACTGTTGCTTTGAGATGCCAGCAGCGATTGACGATATTGAAGGCTTGCGTGAGCTTCAATTTACTGCAACGACAACTCCAGCCCATGTTCCCTACGCGCGCTGGGATGCTGCCTAGCTTTTCAAGAATGTTTCTGCGAGTTACGGCTCATTTATGCTAGTCGGTGCCCTCGTTGATGATGGTCGCTCATTCAAGATGTCGCAACACTTCGTTTGTAACCAAGACCCCTAGAATCTACTACTGTTATAATGCTCGCGAACTTGCCTGGAGTTACGACCGAGGTCATCTACAGGTATTGAT